CGGCGGATGCTGCGGCGGCTGGCGTTGCTGTTGTTGGTGGGGGGGGGGGGAGAAAAAAACACTAAAAACTGTAAGGGCTTCCGCGAAATGTCCTTGCCCCGCCCCCCCCTATCCTTCGCAAGTAGAGGAGAGAAATGTGATATAATGACTCGGGTGATGTTCGTTAACCACCCTCGTGTCAGGTTAAAGCCGAAAACAAATGAAAAGTGCCAGCCGGTTTAGTGAGCAGCGGTGTTCATGCATGGTACTGAGTGCAAGCACGGTAGGTTTTCCGAGCTTGTGTGGCCATACATACGAAGCCGGTGTTAAAGAGGCAAGCCCGTTCGGTGTCGCCCTGAGAAAAGCAGCGACCTACATCTTCTTCACTCCTGCACCTCCGGCAGCTCGAAAGTCACGCTTGAACTCCATCAAACGGAAATCCAAAGAACAAAAGAAAGGAGCTGGGTGTGGCGGGCCAGCCATTTGCTTGCTGCAGCCATCGGGAGGATTTCCTGGCAACTTTTCCGGACAAAAGAGGGGGGAGGGAGGGAGCAAAAAAACGCACGAATCGCATTTAGTTAAAATATTTTTCACCTTCACACCACTCGAAGTTGTCGTAGAGAGACCAGTAGAAGTAGCCGCGCACGTCGCAGCCGTCCTTGATCGCTCTCGACAGCGCGTACAGGTACCTCTTCAAGTACAGCCTGCGAGACAGAGAGAGAGAGAGAGAGACGGAGTATTTCTTTAGCATCCAAATACAAACCATTAGACACTTCCAGCGCTGATCTGGTATATTGGTGTGGTTTTTCTGTTGCAAAACACACCGCCGTCGATTGACGGCTGACTGACTGGCTCTATTATGTTGTTTTTCGGTTGCTAAACCCACCACCACCCAGCAGCGCGGCTGACGTGGCATATTGGTCTGGTTTTAGTTGCTTAACCCACCTCTTGATCTGGTCTATTTGTCTGCAGCTTATATTGGCTTGATTTCGAGTGCGAAGCCCACCTCCTGGCATGGTCAAATGGTATGATTTTGGGTTGCCTAAACCCACCTCCGTCAAAGTAGGTCCGCCTCACGTGGTCTATTGGTTTGGTGTTCGGTTGCTACACGATCCCATCCATGTTCGGTTGCTTTACTCACCTCCTAATCTGGTCTTTTGGTCTGCTGCCTCTGTTGGCTTGATTTTCGGTTGCCGAGCCCACCTGCTGATCTGGTCTAACGGTATTCTCTGAATGTCGGTTGCTCAAAACCCACCTCCGTCGCGTGTCATCAGCGTCGGCGATCCCATTCTCGGTCACGTAAATCGGGTGCCCTATCGCGCTCATGGCCTTGAGGGCGCAGTAGAGCCCCTCCGGGTATATGCAGTGCGGCATGTCGGTCATGGTCTCGGCGGGAAGCGCTCTTAGCTTCTCCTCCATGTCCGGCTCGAAGATCACGTTCCACAGGGAGGCGTAGTAGTGGCTGTGATCGTCGGGTGCGGTGGATAGACGGGGTGTGATGTTCTTGTCGTTGTTGTTGCGGTTGTTGTTGTTGTTGTTGTTGTTGTTGTTGTTGTAATTACCATGGAACACAAGTGGCGTGGCAGTCGGACGAGGCGGCGATGGCACCGCCGTGGCGAAACGCTCAAAGAAAAAAACTCAGGGGGGTATTCCGTGTGGCGAGCCCCGCCATGTCTTCGAAGCAAGCGTCTTTTAACTCTTTGTCCCCGGCTTTTCGGAAAATCACGCATGGAAGAGATAGAATCGGAGAGCGTATCGCCCGAAGAGGCAAATACCTTGTCGCCCAAAGAGTCAGACATCTTCTCGGCTGAGCAAACTGCGCGCCCAGACCGAGCAAAAAACTCGACGGAGAAGACACGCCTCTTCGCGAGGAAACCCACCTGTAGTAGTTAAGGCCTACGAAGTCGTTCGCCTTGGGGGCTCGTCCGTCCGTGAAGCGAACGGAAGCGCAGAATGGTACCCACCAGCGGTACCGCCCAGTCTTCAAAAACTCGATGATCACCTGTGAAGGCGAGGAACCACCAACACGAGTCAGAGGTATTGTTGTGGCCATTGGTTTTTATTGTTGTTGTTGTTGTTGTTGTTGTTGTTGTTGTTGTTGTTGTTGTTGTTGTTGTTGTTGCTGTTGCTGCTGCTGCTGCTGCTGCTGCTGCTGTTGTTATTGTTGCGGTTGTTGGTGCTGTTGTTGTGGTCGTTGTTGTAGTGTTGGTTGGTTCGTGACGAAGCGCAAATGAAAAACCTTCCGATCCCTGTGCAGTACCTTGGGACACCGGGTACTGGGTCACCTGGCGCGGACGCCTTCCGTGATCACCGCCACCACGAAAAGCGTCGCATGCTACGAAAAGCATCAGGGCGAAAGAAACAAGCGATAAACGTCGGTACATATGCCCTGAACAGTCACGCTGATCAAAAGTACGGCGTGTGTATGTGGGTGCGCGAACTCAAGCGAGGAAACATCAACACCCACAACCACATCCAACACAATACCCACACCAATACCACCACCACCACCACCACCAATGACAAACTCGAAGACACCAGTCCTCTTCCCCCACCTGGTTGAAGAGTTTGTCGCACATCGACACCACCAACACCACCAACGATAACAAAAATTCAAGACAACAATCCTCATCCCCAACCTGATTGAATAGGCTTTCGCACAACTACACCACCACCACCACCAACACCAACAACAACAACAACATCACCAACACCACCAACGATCCAATTCAAGACAACGATCCTCATCCCTAACCTGGTTGAAGAGTTTGTCGCACAGCCAGGCGAGGAGGTGGTCGAGGACGTTGTACCAACGGTAGGGGTGGAACTGGAACAGGATCCTTCACGATGCCGACCTCGACTTCCCTGCCCGCGGCCGCCGCTTCTTCGTGGAGAGCGATGTACACCTGTGTATATTTAAATGGGGGCCTTCTTGATTTCATAATTGAATTCGTGTGCCAATTATTTGCGAAACGCCCCCC